TCCGAAGGAAACAGTCGCTGGAGAAGGATGTCATGTTGGGTAAGGTGGAGGGTCAGAGAAAAAGAGGAAGACCCCTAATGAGATGGATTGGCCAGGTGGCATCATTGATGGACTCAAGCGTGACAGCGATAGTGAGGTTGGCCCAGGATGGGACATTGTTTTGTTCTGCTGTGCATGGGGTCGCTATGAGTCGGTTCTGACTCGATGGCACCTGACAACAACAACACCTTTCCTCTGTGGAGCTGCTAGGCTCAAACTGTCAACCCTTGGTTAACAGCCGAGTGCTGTAACCAGTGTACTACCAGTGTGTACAAATTGAAAATGACATTTCCTACTTGGTGTAAGAGACAACTGCCATGTGCCATGCCAGAGACACTGGTGTGTGGCTTCAGTGGATGGTGTTGAGGCAGCTCTCTTCCTTACTGCCTGACTTTGACATGAAGATGAGCTTGAGCCCTGAATATACGGTCACCTTATCGGTTTCAGAGTCTCCAGCTATGAGCAGGGAAAAGCTGCCTGTCTTTATCACAGACAACTTCTCTTCAGAAGGGTTTTCTCTATCATTTTTTATTTTAAGTTTTTATTGTGAATTATGTGTTAGTTTACATGGGAGAACATTATCTTAACATTCATCCCATTGTATTTCATTTCATTGCAATGATTACACTCCCCTGAATGCATCATCAAACAACCAAAGGGTACACCCTGCACACCTGTCCTCTGGCCGCCAGCCCACAACCCCTCTCCCTCCATGAGTCCAGAGTCCCCAGCCATTCCTTCTGTCCACATCATTGTCTCTGCCTCCATCCCTGGTGTCATTGCTTCCCTGGACAGGGTCCTGCACTTCACTTTTCTCCCTTGATGGTTCCAGGGATCTGCAGTCCTGAACTGAAAAATCAACCACTCCCCTCCTTTTGTTATAGAATGTTTACATGTACCTTTCCAACACTCACTGTCAGACCTGATAGCAATCATTCCCTATTGAACCACAGGAGTCCTTTCCCCCTCTCCTTTTATTAGCTCCATCCAGATAGGTTGGAAACAACTCAGTGGAGATTCTATCTTTCCCCCTCAGGAACTAGGTCCCCTGTTGAAAGCTTTGTAAGCCAGTCACTTCTTGCCTTTGTAGCACTGCCATTTTGGGTAGCCAATGTCTAAGTTCCCCATCCTTGTCTACCCTGTGCACCAAGGGAAT